ACTGCCCTCTTGTAGGTAAGCATGATATTCATTCAAAAGTAAAGATGCGTGGATAAAGATCCCAGTGCAAAGAAGAATTTCCCACTTGACTAAAGGAATGCCTGCATATCCAGATCTTTTAAAAAGTGTTATTTTCACTGCTTAATTTTACAGCAGGGACAAGTTTAGAATGACTTACTACTTAGAAGAAGTTTTTTTTTTTTTAGTAGAAACATACCAAAATATACTCCATCCAGTATGTGTTATTTGCAGTACTTTGGCTTGTAAACAGATGCCTAGTCTAAATATGTATGCTGCAAGAAAAGTAGTTGTTTAAAATGATGGTATCTAACATTTCTAGAATGCTTTCTAGAACTGTAACCATATTTTTAATGTTTTGACAGATAAATCTCCAATTAGTATTCTGAAAGACTTGGGACCATCTAACATTGAGACAGAACTGCGAGGCTTGTCATCTGATGGTGGTGGGTCAATTGAGGTGATGCAGAGCTTTCTAAGAATGATTGAAGCAATGCTGAATACTAAGCGTGATTTTGAATTGGCTCAAGCCTACCTTGCATTATTTCTCAAGGTAAATGCATGTTATGATAAGTTTGCCAGTGACAGCTTGTAGTACAATTTGCTCTGTATAGAACAATCTTCACTTTGTTGAAAAGGGGCTCCTTGGAATGGCAAGAAAAACTGTTTAATAACATCCTTTCCATTTTGCAATAGCAGTTTTCTGGCTAGATTTTGTGTTACCATTTTGGTAGTTGCTTCAGTTGCCCAAACAAGTGATTTAGCAGTCCTTAGCACTCATAATCTTAATAATACTGCATGCTAGAGGTTACTGATCCAAGTTAATGCTCCCTGGAAGAGGTAGTTGTGTATGACAGACACATTTATATTTTGGACAGATTAATTTGTCACTTGGCAGTGTTGAGGAGAGTGTTTTTAGTAGCTTAGAAAAAATTATATAACCTTATCACATCGATGTCTATATAAATTTATCAATAAGCTAATTAAATTAGAATATTTCCTATTTCATCGTCTAAATTCCCCATCCTTCTATATCATACATCATTATCAATATTATCTCTACACATTTTCCCCATTTGCTTTATTCACAAAATCAAATACTGGTTTCCAATTTTCCCGTATTTCGTCCCAGTCATAGCCTCTCATTACTGCGGTTAGATTATCCAGCTTAATTAAATCAATCAATTTGTTAAGCCAATCTGTAACCGATGGAAT